GAATTTTGTCCATCTGGATCAGATTCAAAACATATCTGAAAAAAATTTCCATCGTTATTTTGTGAGATCTGGAGAAAAAATTATTTGCTTCAGCAAATTATTATGCATATCTCAAAGCATTCATTCTATTTTATTACCAAAAGTGCCATCAGAATTTTCTTCTTGGGATTCTTAAGAGTTGATTGGCCAGATTGGCTTATAGCTTAATATATTGACTTGAAATTTTCTCTAGTCTGAATGCTTAGAATTGGCAATAAATGTATGAGGGGTCTGCAAAAAGTTCATGGAAATATTCATATTATCTTTTCCATTTTCCACAAACTTTTTGAAGTACTCTTTTATTTTAAAAAGTTTTACTGGTATCAGTTTTCTAAAAAATAATCATTTCATTTTGCTTGGTAAGCTCAGTTTAAATTTTTAGTAATATAATTAAAGTGATTAAGATTTGGGGCTTTGAAATAGCTAGTAGGTGTGAGATTGTTGATAACAAAATAAGAATAGATAATCAGATGTTCACATTTGAAAATTTAGAAGTTGGGAAGTTTTGACTCCTTTATTTTACACACAAGTCCACTGGAGGTGTGACCTAGCCAGGGCTACACAGCCTAGTCCTGGGCTTTTTTCCTACATGTTTCCTTTGACTTCAGTCATTGTGAGTAGTAAACTGAAAAGAATACAGCTTGTTTTTTGGATCATTTGTATTAGAAAAAATACTTTGGGATTCTCAAAAACATGAATGTATTTTCCTTAGGAATCATACCAAGTAGCTGTCAGATGGAGTCCTAGTTCTATCAATTACTAATTGCATGAACTTGTTAAAACCAAATTAATCTTTTATTTTCTGTTTTCTCATGGGCTTTTTTTTTTTTTAAGGAATGTCTGTGTTACTAAGCTCACAAACTCATTTTGAAGATCAAAATTACAATGAAAAGTAAAAGTGTCTATAAAACATCTGGATTCAGTATACCTCAGAAGGGTTCTGTGTGTTATCCAGATTGCCACTGTCGGTCTACATTGCTAAAGCAGGTCCTTGTTGAGACAGGATCTTAGCCCCTCTCGCAGCGTAGGAAGCATGTCACAGGGACGGAAGTGCAGGCTCTGAGGCCGACAGGCCTGGGCTCGAAGTGCAACTCCACCGCTTACTGGTTGACAACTTGGGCAAATTACCCTCTCTCTGCCTGTTTCCTCAGTTGTAAAATGGTGGTAATAAATACCATATAGGTTTTTTTTTTTTTGTGACAGTGAGAAGTAAGACATTTAGCATCTAACAAAGTGAAGTGCCTGGCATAGAGTATATTTTCAGTAAATACTGCTGGCAGAAATTCTTAACTGAAACCTTTCATACTACTAAGAATAGATGCATTTAATAGTATTAGCTCAGGATGTAATGGTACCAAAGGGTTCCTTGCTAAACAAAAATTTATATCATCTATTTTTATAATCTATGGTGAAAATTTAAGCAGTAACTTTCCCGTGCTCACTTCCAGATGCTACAAGCTGAGGAGACGTCCAGCACCTCGCAGTTGAATGAATTAATGATGGCTTCCCAGTCTACTTTACTGGCTCAGGAGCCACGAGACATAACTGCAGATGTAATTGAGCTTAAAGGGAAATTTCTCATCAATTTAGAAGGTAAGGAGTTGAGAATAACAAGTGGTGAATGGAGAATCGAATAACTGCAGGTCATTTCAAACTTTCCAGTGGACTAGATTTATTCTAAAGGCAGCTGTGTAACTTCGAATACATCTTTCCACGGAAATATGAACAATTACAAAGTTTCTAAGCCAGCTCTCAAGTGTCTTACGTGATGACCTTGGGAACTGAAGGCTAGGGATGGAAGAGGAAGAGAGATGTCCTTCCTGTATCTGAATGAGTAGTCGTATGTGGAGTCAGTCTGACTCGCTCCCTTTCCCTTTTGTATCCCCCTCCTTTGATCCTTAGCATCCCAGGACTGCTCAGCCCTCACACCCTTCCCCAGTGCTGATTCTAAAACTTCCTATTATGCACACACCACATTAAAGTGTTATTATTTAGCTATTCTTAATGAGGGGTTAAGGGTTTTATTGAACTCACTGTAACAATGGTATCTCCTAATCAGTCATCTTGTAGATACTTATTTTATGGAGAATTTTTGGTAACCTGATCTGTCCTCATTGAAGGAAACAGAAGTGGAGTAGCATTTACAGAGAGTAACAAGCAGCTGCTTTGGCAAAGGTGATGCTGCTTGTTTTTCATAACAGCTTTCAGGTACCAGCAAGGAGATGGGAAGCTAATTTATAGGCATCAGTTTAAATTCAAGGCTTGGTAGCACTGACCATGTGGTGAAGATTCTGGCTTAATTTGCTTTTCAAAACGTACATTCGTTGCCGAATGACTACAGAGTAATTTATTCTTTATCATATTTTTATCGGTTTGAGGTTTGAGAGTATTAATAGTGGAGAAATTTTTGCTTTTATCCAAACTGAGTAGTTTTGGGTGGGGACACTGCAGTTGCCACTATAACTTGGCTTTTGAAAATTCTCATTCAAGTGTATAACTGGAGAGGCAGTGTAATTTATCAGAACTATACCTGGATTAAGAACCAGAAGGCATGTCCTGCCTGAGTAGATACAGAACTTAGTGACTGGGGAAAAGTCAGTTAACCTCACAGGGTCTCAGACTCCTCAGCTCTCTTTAGTTGTCAAGCTGTATGACTCCATTATCTTGGCTATTTATATAATGGGGCAAATGGTGCAGTATCTGACAAGCTTTACCAAGGCAGGGAGGAGAAAACTTTGAAAAAGGAGCACCTGCTAAGCCAGTTAAATAGAGACGATGCAGGGCCGACCCCATGGCTCACTCAAGAGTGCCGCACTGGGAGCACACCAGCGCTCCGGCCGCGGGTTTGGATCCTATATAGGGATGGCCGGTGCGCTCACTGGCTGAGTGCGGTGCAGGTGACACCAAGCCAAGGGTTGCGATCCCCTTACCGGTCACAAAAAAAAAGAAAAAAATAGAGATGATGCAAATTGAATGGCCTGTCAGAAATACTCTTCATGTATTTTTCTTTCCTAGGTGGTGATATTCGTGAAGAGTCTTTATACAAAGTCCTTGTCATGCCAGCTACCAAAGAAAAATGCCCTCGTTGTTGGAAGTATACAGCTGAGTCTTCAGATACTCTCTGTCCCCGATGTGCAGAAGTTGTCAGTGGATAATAGTACTATGATGTTAATAGCTCTCTCTGAATAAGAACCCTCCTGACAGTACTGACTGGGAGTTTAAATGGATTGTTTACAATATTGGAAAGAAATCCAAGATTTAGGTAATGAGTGGGAGAGTAAATGGTGGAGGGTGAGGGTCAAAATCAGATCATAAAATAAGTATTTCCTGTAACTAGAGAAAGAATAATGTATATGTATACATGTGGCAACATATATGTGTGTATGCACATGGATTTATATAGATCCATAATGGACTTATTCAGAACATAAGACACTGAATAATGCTTGCCTTCAAATGTGGCTGAGCAGAAGAAAATGTTTTATATTCTGTAAATCTTTTTCACTCAGTATTTAAGTTCTATGAGGTCTGAAAATAAAGGCATTCTGGAAAACTACTGACTAATGTTGGTACTGAAATTGTGAATATCAAGTAAAAACAAGTGGTTTTGAAAGGTGATATGTTTCCCTTAAGAGGTGAGGAGCATCATTTCATTCTGCCTAGTGTCCATCAACCTTTTCAGGATAGCTAGTGTTTTGGGTTGGATTAGAAAGAAAAACAGCACCAAATTTGTTATTCAAGAGGGGAAGAAATCTCAAAACTTACACTTAGGAATTTTCAAGAAACAAGGTGAAAGCTGAAATTTATTTCACTAATTTACATAAATTCACACAATGAACAGAGAGAAAATAGCAGTATATACAGAATTTCACTGCTTACATTTTACAATAAAATAATAGAGCATTTTATAAATAATTTAATATTGGATTAAAATCTAAGGATGGTTAATTCTTTTCAGCACAAATCTAACTTTTAGAAGCCCAGCAAACTCATTCCTATCGGGCAGGGTGAGAGGGCTTTCACTGTTGCTGTAGTGCAGGGGAGGAAAAAGTTCACGGAAAGATTCATATTAATTCCATTTTTCCACACATTTTTTTTTTTTCCTTTTTGTCTTTTTTTGTGTCCGGCAACAGATCGCAACCCTCAGTGTCGCACCCGCACCTCGCTCAGCCAGTGAGCGGGAACCAGCCTGCATGTGGGATCCGAACCCTCGGCGGGAGCACCACCGCGCTCCCAAGCGGCGCACTGTAGCAGTGCGCCACCGGGCCGGCCCTCCACACACTTTTTAAAGTACCCTTGTACTGTAAAAATATTTATCTCATAAATGAAATGGACCACAGTAACTTCTAAGTGAACATTATATTCAATGTAAGTCTAGTTCTATTAATTCTCATTTTTTTTGTGATTTTTAAATTGCAATTAATCATGTTTTTTAAAAAAAGCAATTTAAATATAACAGTGTTTACTTTGACCTTAGATGAACTTCTATATCAAGGGTGAAATTTTTTCTTTTTCTTTCTGCCTAAGTGTGAAGCATTTAGAAGCATGGTGCTATACATCTCTTCATCTACATTTATTCTGGCCCCCTCTAGTTCTATATCTAAACACAACCTGTAATGTAGAACTTACGATTATTTTAACACTTTTACTTTCTTATATAAGCATTAATTTAACAAGGTAAAAAATGTGTATTTAATGTTGATGAAGAAAGACATGTGAGGGGTGGGAGTCCATCTAGGAAACACGACCGGTCATTGGCTTTTCATCAGTAGTTGCAGTGAGTGCCACATACCTTTGTTTCAGGAGATAAAATCTAATTCCTTTATCTGAGGCTCTTCATTGTTACAGAATGTATATCTATCAGATTTATTTTAATAACCCTTGATGAAGCAGTAAAATATTTTGCTTTTCTTAACCATGAAACTTAGAATTCAATTTTAAAATTCTATGAATGTTAAATTTTAGGATAACAAATCTAACTAGAGACTCAATGATTTACATTATGGTTCAGTCATATTTCAGCTTATTATTCTCAGCAATCCCCAGATTTGATTATGTGTCCTACCAGAGTAAGTTTAACCAGTTTTATTATCTCAAATGCTTAATAAATTCTCCCCCTCCCCCCAAAAAGTGATAATGGAATCGAGGATTTAACCTTTAATAATACCTATAATTCCCAGTTTCTTTGACCAGCCTCCTAAATTCATACTATTTTCAGAGTATTCAGAAAAATCACAGGAAGAACTAATCTTTCAGAACTCATATAAGTGACTATATAAAGCTACATATGTTTACAAGGATTCTACAATGTGTCTGGCTGGGGTAGTGGAGATCCGAGCGGAGGCTAGGAAGTTGGACTAGCTTAAGGCCCTTTCCAGTGCTGCTACCCTACAAAACATGTGCCTCAATCAGACTCACAGGTCCCCACCCCAAATAATCAAGACATCTTAAAAATTTATCTCTCAAGATTTTAAATTTGACAAGTTACTTAAATAGTAGTTGTGTTTTAGCCAGTTAAGTTCTTATTTGGATGTTATCTTTTAGCTCAAATATCAGACATTTTTTTCTTTATCTCCCTAAGGACATACTCCTTAACTGTGTAATTGCCAGAGTTGACTTCTTAAAAGAAAGGGAAGAAAAAAACTTCTGTATCACAGTGAGTTACTATGAGTGACAATTGTGATCCATGACAGATAATCAATAATTGCACTGTGTGGCTGCATTCCAAAGTGATACCATAATAAATACGTGGTACTTGTAGAGCTCAAAGCACTTTTTACAGAGTTTTGGTTAGTTTGGCTTTAATCAATAAATACTTATTTAGGACTTGGACGACTACTCTAGGTACTGTAGAGTACAAAATTAATTGTATTTTATCCTCTCGACCCAGCTGTGAGGTAGGTTTGCTAAAGCTGTAATATCACTAAGCATTTTTTTCTGTACTGTTCCCAAGGACAAATAACTACCAAATCCCAGAAAAACACATTTCTAAACACTTGTAGGAAAAATAAAGTTGGACTTAAAATTTTTAGTATCTTTACTTTTTTTTTTTTTTTTTTTTTACATAAGTTTTACAAGATAATATATTTTTACAGTTACCTGATGTGGATACAACTTTGCAAAGTGGCAAAAAAACAAAACTTACATTATAATGAATTTTGCTGTGTTGTTTGCATCTCAGATGCTCAGTTTTGGCAAGAACAGGTTACGGGATCTATTTAGTGTCCCTTCTGATGAATATGATGACCTCGAACCCATTCTTCCTCCTCAAGCAAGGTCATCCTCCTCTGACGGCAACAGCAGAGCCTCTGGACAAGGAACCTATCAGCCTCCAGAACCCCCAGGTGGCAGCCCAGAAGGGGATGAAGCACGTGTAACAAAAGCATTTTCTTAACATTTATTAAAGGGAGTGGGATGTTTCTCTAACCTTACTGATGGGGACTGTACATGAACACATTTAAATTTAATTACAGCAATAACATTTTAGATAAGAAATATAGAATCTCATAATAACACAGTCTGTAAATTATAACCAATTTTAAATAGTAAAGTTTAACAATAATGCTACTTAAGTGTTTGAGTTAGAAATAAACAGTAAAACATCTGTATTTGTAATTATAGTACAATAGATATTTGTTTATATTTTATCTTCAGTATTAACCAAAGGAGTGGGGAGTGGAATTTAGCCAGGACAGCACTTTTTAAAAGTAATATATATCTTCATTTTACAAAAGAAAAAAAAAACATACTCCCTCCATAAAATTCCAGATCTCACTATGTAAAATAGCCATGCACTAGGTCACACAATTTCAGACTATGTTCAGTAGATAAGTGTCAGGAAGAAGGAAGAGAGATGGCTTCCACAGCTTCAATGAGGTGTAAGGCTAGACTGTACTGCCCGTGTTTTTCTGGTAAAAGCTCAATTACTTTATTTACTAGTTTAGTTGTTGTTGCAATTGGCACTTCAGTGTTTTGAAGATCCTGGGGGTCCTGCAAATAAGACACAAATATAACCCATTAGCTATACACAATTAAGCAATAATTATTACTGATTTAGGAGTTATCACAATAGCTATTTCCCAGTAAAAATGCTTTTCTTTGGAACTAAGTGAATTACACTTATTTAAATTTTCTTCACAACTATTATTAAATATGCATTTAAGAAAACACCCAGTGGGGCTGGCCCCGTGATTCACTAGGGAGAGTGTGGCGCTGGTCACGGTTTTGTATCCTATATAGGGATGGCCGGTGCGCTCACTGGCTGAGCGTGGTGCGGATGACACCGTGCCAAGGGTTGCAATCCCCTTACCGGTCAGAAAAAAAAAGAAAACACCCAGTGACCTGCCTGATCTCATGCTGCTCTATTTACCATTGCTTTCAGCCAAGTACAGAGCGTGGGGGGGAGTCTGGCAAGCAGCTCCATGCCTTCTTTTGTCTGGGTGTGGAGCAGTGCATGAGCCAGCCTTTGTCCTGTCAACACCAGCAGCTGAGAGGCAAGGACCTCTTTGTCATGAACCTGTAGAATGGCCTGGGGATATGAACATGGAAAAATAATACAGTCACAGATTTATTTATTCTGTAGAAAGGGGTTGCCAGTGAAGACATTCCAGTTCATTTTCAAGCTGTATACTGCCATGTATTTGTACAAAATCCAAACCAAACTTGGCATTTAAATCCTAATTTCTGCTTATTAGCTAATCTTTTTTCTTTCACCTAATATATCAAAATTCAGTATGATTACACAATGTGTTGTCTTCAAACTTTTGGCAAATGAAGGGAATTAGATTAGATTATATCATGACTGCTTAAAATCCTCAACTGGCTTCTGAATGCACTTAAAATAACCATGGGCTCTGAGGCTTCCTATGATCTGGCCCCTGACTCTCCCCACCTCATCTCATAATACTTTATCCCTTGCTTACTATGGTCAGCCACAGTGGCCTTTCTGGTCCTTTCCCTAGCCAAGCTGGTCCCCACCTCAGTTCCTCTATACTTTTTATTTCTGTCTTGAACACTGTTCCTCCAGTTTTCTGAGTGCCTTCTTATTTTGGGGGACTCAGTTCAAATGTTATCTTCTCTGACCACTCTATTTAGTAGCTCCTGTTTATTCATACGATCCTGTTTATTTTCTTCACAGTGCATATCACTTAGTACAAAATTTAGCATGCTCTTCTCCTACCAGTAGATTATCAATTCCATGAGGAAGACATCTTGTCTGTTTTGTTTACTGCTATACCCCTCTGTACAGAACAGGCCTGGCACACTATAGGAATTTATTTGATAACAGTTATATTTTAATATTCTACTTTTGTGCCTAGAAGTTCTAACAAAAGGAAGAGCAAAAAGCTTTAATGGAGATTTTACTGATTCTTTACTCCAACTATTTTATAACTTGAGCCCAATTAACATTCATAGGGTCATAATTACCTCTTCTCCTAAGTGGTCAACTCCATGGTTATAGAGTTCCCCCACATAATGCCTTCTAACAACATCTTCACTAACTTGAAGGTGATGGGCTAAATCCACGGCTAGAACTGGCCAATCTTGGTCTTTCCCAAAAGGAGTGGTCATTGCTTCTTCTGAGGAATCTTTGTCCTTTGCACCTGAATGCTGGGCCTGGACAGCTGCACTAACAACTTTCAATAAGAACTTGGAAATGGAAAAAGAGATACAGCAATGTCTTGTTAGTGTGTTTCATTAAAAAATACTTAAAAGTAATTGTTGGTTTTTCTGTCAATTATAGTGAGTCACTATGAAAAAAGGAAAACATACCAGCTCTCAAGAATACTTTGAAAGTGATCATCTTTTTAAAGGCCAGCGAGATTTTTGCTTTACTGTTTTCCAAGAAACAAAAAAATCTAGTAACTGCAATTTACCTGTTGTCGTACAGAAATAAAATTTGGATCCATTTCCCCACTAGGTAATAACTGAATTGAAGTTAGGTCTTTGAAAAATGCATTTTTTCCCTAAAAAGAAAGAGATCAAGAAAACTGATGAGTGTGGATTATTATGGGTGAACAAAGGGAAAGATGAAAAAGACTAAAGTCATTTAACCAGGAATAACTCACAGCTAATTTTTATTTTCTCTCTAAAAATAAGGTTTTAGAATTTTATTAATTTTTATCTCAATTATCTAGTATGTGGCAGGCAGGCTTTCAGTCCCCAGTGATCCCCTCCTGATATTCATGCCTTGTATGACCTCCTCCCCTTGAATCCACATGGGCTGGTGACTTGCTGCTTGCAAACAGAATGCGGTAGTGGTGGTAGCACAGAAATTCCAAGATTAGGCTCCAAAAGACTGCTTTTGCCTTGGGTGCTCACAGTCATCCTCACCTGTTCTGAAGGAAGCCCAGCTGCCAGGCTGCGAGTGCCCTGTGGAGAGGCACATGTTGCAGAGGACTGAATCTTGCCAACAACCATGCTTGGAAGTGAATCACCCTCTCCTCACTAAGCCTCTAGATGAGACCAGCTGAGCCTTCAGAGGAGACCACAGCCTGGGCCAACACCCCAATTACAGTCTCTGGAGAGACTTTAAGCCAGAGGCACCTACATAAGGGGAACCCAGATACCTGAACCACAAACACTGTGAGATAATGTTTGTTGTTTTCAACCACTAAGTTTTGGGATAATTTGTCACAAAGTAATAGATAACTAACCCACAGTGTGTACTCTGAGTCCTTTTAAAAACACTTGTTGAATTGTTTAAAAACACCTTGTTTAAGAGAATAGATGCATGTCTGAAGAGTCAATACAGAATATCAGAAAACAGGAGTGCAGAAGTTCCTTGAAAGGAAATTTCTGCTTATAATATCTTCAAACTCAACATGTCCAAAAATGTTCTAAATGGGCTTACTTGTAAATGACAGCCCAGTTCCCCAAGCTTGAAATTGGACTGAATTGTAACTCCTTCCATCTTCTGCAGCCCTATACCCAGTAGGTGTCATTAGGTTACTGATTCCTCCAAATCCCTTCATGATTTTTATGACCTTCCCCCCAAGTCCACATCTTCACCAACTCCTGACTCTCAGTGGTTTCCCAAACTCTCTTCACTATTTCCTCCAGTCTTTTCTGCATACTGCTGCCATGTAACTTTTCTTTAACATCTTTTTAATTATAAATGCATCAGACATTTAATGAGCTCCTATTATGTGCCAGGCATGGTACACAGACATGGGAACATAGTAAAGAGGTGCCAAGTTCAGGGAACACAAAGACTTTGAACAGAAGATGACACTTAAGGAATAACATGAAAAACAAACAGGAACTGGCTGTACAAAATAGTTGCCTGTGAAAACCAAACACCCCAAAAAAAGAAGTGTTGATAAAAACACATGATCTCTTGAGGAGTGAGTGTAGCTGACAGTGGCAGCAGCACAGGTGCAGGAGAAGAACAGCTGATGAGGCAGGAGAGGTAAGTGGCGGCCAGGGACGCCTCCTTCCTCCTGGCTCTGGCCGTATGCCAGGGGTTCCATGAGAATGACATTCCAGGTCTGCTGCGCCACCTCATATCACTCCTCCCCAGGATGGACTGGTGAGGTTAGGAGAAGGAGATGAGCATTCTCAACAGTCCCTCGGCCTCCATCTTTGCGGAGGCAGTCTTCCCACAGGGAGAACGCCATCTCTGTTCCTACGGGGCCATGTACCTAGGGGTCCAGCTGGGCCTTTCCTGGAATGTACAAGTCTCTCATGTAAGCCTAAGCTGCGTTCTCCAACCTAGCTTCTATCAGCAAAAAGCTAAGTAGCAAAAGTTGACGTTTTTATCTCCAATAGTCTGAATCCTATGTCTGTCTCTCATTTGGCACCTATGTGGGGAAGACAACGGCTTTACTATCTACAGCAGTCAAATTGGGAAAGTCTTCAACATGTTCTACTAACAAGTTTGAATTTGATCCTGCAGGGGAGCCAAAAACTCTTAGGCATGGAACTAGTATGATTAGACCTCAGTTTTGGGAAGACAGCTGTGGCAGCATGGGATTGGAGAGAGAGAAGCTGGGGGCAAGGCGATTAGAAGAGGCTGTCGTCGTAGCCAAGGGAGAGAGGAGGAGGCCTGGACTAGGGGTGTAGTGATGGAGAGGAACAGACAGATACATTCTACAGAAGATTGTACAAGAATGAATTTACAGCAAAGTAAATGGCTTGAAACAGGGAGTTGAGCCAGATAACTTCAAGGATTCTAGTTGACACCAGTGCACAAATGACAACATAACCAATCAACTAACCAAGCCAGGGAATTTAGGAGGAACAGCTAATCTAGGTCAGGAGCAGAATGGGGTGAGGGTTTGCAGATATATTTTCGATACGAGGTGTTTGAAGTCTCACAGGGCATTCAAAGAGAGATGTTTAACAGAAATATATGCCTCAAAGTCCGGAGACTGGTCAGGCCTAGAGGTATGCAAGAGGGAGAGAATGAGCCTGTCCAGGAGGAATATGGAGAATGAGAAGGGCAAACAGCTGAGAGCACTTCAAGGGAAACCAACATGTAAGGTAAATCAGAAGAACGCAATCAGGTGCAGAATAAGGCAGCTGCAACCCCACAATGAATTATTTCCCATACAAGTCATAAAAATATAAACAACTTCTATTAAGTAAGAAAATCCATGTGATTGTACACCCACAGCTCCAAAATAGCTCTGAAATCTCCTGAGGGTCTTACCTTACTATCAAAAAGTGAAAGTGGCTTCACAATCTTGAGAGAAAACCTCATGACCGCGTACAGGACAGAGCACAGGAGGGAATGGTGTTCCACCAGTGGGTAGTGGATGTGCTTCTGTTCAAGGGCTAGCTCCACTATTGAGATCGGTCCTTCCACAGAAAGCCAGGCATCCTCAGTATCCAGGACAGGTGCCTGCATTTCATCCCTGTTAACATCTGCCTAAGGGTTTTGAGAAGGGAGGACTGTATTTGGAATTGGAGAAACAACAGCTTATAAATATCCTCCTGAGTTTATTAGCAGCAGAATGCAAACCCATATCGTGCACCACCACCCCAAATTGTAATAAAAAAACACAAGGTCTAATTCTAATAAGAATTTAATAAGAAAACATCACTATTTTTTAGGCTTAAGTCAAAATTTACAAATGAATAAATGAAAAAGAATCTCATTACAACAGTCCTTTCTTAAGTCCAACAATTTTCAGACTACTTGATATTTTAAGAGCAGTTCAGAATGAAAAGACACCTCTTTTACCTCCATTAAAGTCTGAAGAAGATCCAAACAGCAGCCAAGGAAAGACGTCATTGCTGTGTCGCTCATCCCTACATCCTATTTTTAAAAAGGAACATAATTATTCCCTGCAGCAAAACTGCTAGTCATTATTAGAAAAGCAAAAATAACAGAACACAACACACCTATTCAACTGACTTTTTACACTGAATAGACAAGCAAGAATTTGAAAGTCAAGGAAAGGCATCAGCACAATTACACTCCTTCCTTTAGATTCTTCAGAGTCAACCAATTTTAAAATCAGGCTTTAAAAAAGTGGTACTACTATCAACTTTTAAAAATTAGTGTTCTTAGCTGGTCAGTTAGCTCAGTTGGTTACAGCATGGTGTTATAACACCAAGATCAAGGGTCTGGATCCCCGTACTAGCCAACCGCAAACCCCCCTCCCCAAACAAAAAACCCCATAGAATTCTATGTGTATTGCAAAGCCATTCTCATCGGTTCCTATAGATGGCCGCGCTCCCATGCACATTGTCCAGCCTGCTAAGGCACCTCATAGCCAGTTAATCATGGTACAAGGGAGGTTACCCGTGAGTCCAACCAGAAAAGCTCTAAGAAAACAGCTGGTGTGGTTTCGGAACATCTTTTAGGGACTAAACTGAACCGTCTGAATAGAACTAGAATCCCCAAGCTGGAGAACTAAATACCAGATTCATGCTGTGGGCAAAGATGGTTCCTGCTGACTCCCTTAAAGTGCCTAAGGGGCCATTGCATTTATGCACAATCTTTTTTAGACCAAAAACCAATAAATTCCTCACATCCCCAAAGTAAATAACACAGAGTATATGTGTGTGTATGCATGTACACGAACATATATGACTCTAGTCACACCACTATCAAGAACACATCAGAATTCTTCAACAGTGGTGATTCTGGAGGACTGAGGGCTTATAACAGACAGATTCATATGTCCCAACATTTAAGATATTTGTAATAAGACATTTCAAAGTTCTGAGCAAAAGCTACCACTATTAGTCACTGGCCTCAAATAAAAGCCCATTATCCATAGATTGGAAAATTATTTAAGATGAATGTCATATGTGCACAGCAGCTCTTACATATAGATAGAATATGCTTCAACTGATGTTGGATGTTTCTACAGCAGTCTCCTCTTATCTTCAAGGAATACATTCCAAGACCCCCAGGGGATGCCTGAAACCATGGATAGCCCCGAACCTTACACATACTGTTTTCTTCCCGTGCATACATATCTATGATAAAGTTTAATTTAAAAATCAGGCATAGTAAGAGATTAACAATAACTAATAATAAAATAGAATAATTATAACAATTTACTGTAATAGAAGTTATGTGAATGTGATCTATCTCTCAAAATACTATAATATTTTCAGACTGCAGTTGAGCGCAGGTAACTGAAACCATGGAAAGCAAAACCACATGTAAGGGGAGACTACTGTACTATAAATTTCTAATCTGAAGTAGAGAAAAACATGCATCAATAGTAGCATGTTATTCTCCTGTCCACAGTCCAAAGTTTAGCACATTTTATGAAAACTTAGTTTAAACATGCTATCAGACAGTCTGGAAAGGTAAATTAAAATTGGCCGTAGTTCATAACCAGTTTCCTTAATAGAGTATTTTCTTTCCATTTTTATTTCCTGATAGTCATCAAAATGATAAAGGCAAAGTTCACCGCTACTGTTAATAAGGTACTACATACAGCGTAGGATGAGAATGGCTTTGCAATACACACAGCGAAAATTCTAGTTAAGGTAGAGTCACTTACTCTTCGGCATAACCTATCCTTTGGTGCTTTTCCAACCTAACAAAAAAGGACACAAAATGCTGTAATATTTAATAATGTAAATAAAAAGGCATCACTATGTTGAAAAAGAAAGTAAAAAGTAATCAAACTTAAGAAACTATAAATGCAGCAGAAAGTGTGGCAATCTTTCATTAATTAACTGTTGGTTCTACCTACAGTAGATGCAATTAATTTTGTGGCAGAACTTAGAAATTTATCACACTGGGCTCATAAGTAATCCTTTTCGAAAATAAATTATATATTTTAAACTATTAAATAAGAAAAAACTCTAAAAACCTGGCCCTCACTTTGTACAGTCAAATAACTATGCTTCAAGTACAGAGCCAAACTCAAGGTTACTAATAAAGAGCACCTAAGAATTTTGCTTGTTGATAAAGACACACAATAGTTTAAAATGGTCAGAAAAAAGAAAAAATACTCTAAAGCAGATAGGAGTTATATCCTAGCTCAGAAAGACGTACTTGATTCAATACGTACTTATTATGATTCTGCTGTGTTTGTCTACAGGGCAACATGTGGGAGGTAAAAGTTCTGTCCTGAGGAACATTACATGGTAAGATGAGATACTCACAGGAGACAGTGGAGAGGGGACTACAGTGAAGACTCTTCACCCTGAGATTATGCAACAGCCTTCGAACAACCAAGCTCAGCCCACCCCATTTCCAAGTACTTCACACTGTTGCCAAAATCATCTTTTTAAACACAAATCTGAGCATATAATTCCTCTGCTTAAAACTTCCCCATGTCTTCAATATAAAGTAATAGCTACCATTTACTGAGCCCTTACCATATGTGCCTGACCCTCGCTAAGCAGTTTACATGTAGTATTAGAAAACCCCAAATCCACAGCCTGCGTGGGAAATTCTTCCAGCTTCCCTCCTTCCTACAGCCCACGTATGCTCCAGCCTGACTTGCAGATTTCTGAATCCAACAAGCTGCCTCATATCTCCAG